TTCTAATGAATTTTGTTAATATTCCTATGTAAAATATCTAATTGTCTCTTAGTACCTGTCATCCACATATTTGAAAATAAAGTTTGTGAAGATCAAATCGTAAGATGTAGCTTATGAAATTACTATGGATCTTCATCAAATAATGGCCAAATCAGTCAGAAAAATAATATATATTTTATGACAAGACATTGATGAAAAATTTTGATTGATTAATTATATTTTTTCTGTTTTATTCAATTTCATCCACCTCAATTCTGTTGTGGTTTTCATTAGACATTTTTAGATTTTTATTCAATTTTCAGGAACATTAGCTCCGAAGCTTCCGATTCACCTTTGTCCCATTTGTGGAAAAAAATACAGTTATAAATATAATTTGAACCGACACATGAATTATGAATGTGGGAAACAGAAATTCTTCAGATGTATCTATTGTTCAAAATCTTTCTCTCAAAAGGCAACATTGAAGTCACATTTGAATGCATTTCATACCAGTTCGATAGCTGCTAGAAGATGAGGAAATCAATTGAGTACTGGAGAATCGAAAAGATCAAACATATTTTTATATTTCATTGACCAGAAATAAAGGAAATATTTCAGTGTGACACGTTATTATAGTAATTATAGAATGATAATCCAATCAGCACACTCTAGACTTCACGTTAGACTTCAAACATCAGTTGAAAAATGATTGAAAAGTCGAAGGAAATGAAACAACTAGTAAATAAATAGACAACTAATGATTACCTTCCGGAATGCACTGGCAGACCGGTTTCGGGCTGTTTGGCCTGAAACCGGGCCAGACTGGTTTCGGGCCAAACAGCCCGGATCCGGTCTGCCAGTGCATTTCAAGAATTGAAAATCAGTTACATTTCGTATGATAATGAACCCTCTCGAAAAAATCAATATGGATCTGTCTGTCTGTTCTGTCTGTTTTTTCGTTAATCAGCTGTCGCCCCAATACGAACGACAACTCTCACAAGTTGAGAGACTTGTGCGAACCAAGGACTAACGAGATCTTACCTTTTAACGTGTGATTCCTAACATATGGATGACTCATAAGACTGATTTTTTTCATTAGATTCAATTACAAGTATCATTATACAGGGTTGACATTTGATATTCTGTGCAACACTTTGTTTTTATATATATTGCGTATTTTCGTAAACAACCCTTCAAGAATTTGAATTGTTTGAAGATTCGAAAAGTCAGCTACTGCCTCAATAAATGTTAGTGAATCTTCGCAGGTAAAGTTCCTTATTTTCCACCAAATCAATCGAAGCTCAAATATCAAATATAAAAGAAAAAAGAATATTTTGAAACCTAATAATAACTTTAATGTAAATCACATTATAGTTTGTATAGATGAAAGTATAACTTTCTGGCAGTTCTCGTTGCCACCATTGAGAGGATATTCAAAAGGTAAATCTAGAAAGGTTAATGCAGTCAAGCTGCTGGAAAATAATTCCATGAAAATAAAAAAATGAATAGATAAGTACTCTTTGCAAAGATGGGCAACACTTGTTTGCACTTAGCTGCACCGCGCTGATGAGGCCAATAGCCAAAAACACGTGTACGCGGTTTGCCCACTATTTTGGAGTGTTGTGTCCATGAATTTTCATTTTTGATTAATATCATACATACTTAACAACATCTATATCTTTATATCTATAAAATCTAGAAAGGTTAATGCAGTCAAACTGCTGGAAAATAATTCCATGAAAATCAAAAAATGAATAAAAATAAGAATAAAAATAACTCGCTGATTAATAATGATGTTACATATTCGTACGAGCAATTGAGAAAAGGAGAGTTTTTTGGTACTGTAGTTGCAGAGGAGGATATTCCGGCAGAGGGGCTTTTAGATATTCGGTAAAGGACTTTAAAATGAACCAATTTTGAAAATCTCTGCCAAAAATTTTGAGTCTAGTAATAAGGCTCATTCCAAACTGAAACTACGAACAATTAATGTAATCTATATGTATTTGAAAGCGAGTTTTCGCTACAATAATTACTCAATAGCTACTATACAAAAATGTTCCAAACCTTTTACAACTAAAGGCGTTTCCTTATGTGAAGTGAGTTTTGGTTTGAAAACTCAATTAATAGGAAGGTTTTAGGCGGAGTCAAGGCGTTACAAAATTGAGAGTGGCAGGAAAAGCCAGACAAAACTGACCATTTGGAAAAACCCACTAATTGTATAGAAAGTACATTAACAAAGTTTTATAACATTCAAGTAGAAAACCCCGACAGTATACTTTCAAGAAAAAGATTGCAATTTTACAAAATTAAAAATGCTACCCTTGTCATGTCAGTTGGCATCACAAGGTATTGAAAGAATGAGAAGAAATATTGGCAAATATTTACCAGCAACAAAGAAAAGATTGAAATTCTCATAATTTTAGGATTCTGTGAATCTGCAGTCTGGACAATTGTATTATTTTATTGTGACGAAATTGCAGACCTTTAGGCCGTGGAATTTCCAACCTAAGTTTTATGAAAAGCTCATGAAATAAAATCCTGATTCTAAATCATTTCTAGCGATGCAACACCTGTTATATTTCTACGTATCATATTAACTAAAGTAAGTTCATTGACTATGTTTGGAATATAAACTTGATAATGTTGCAAATACTTTTTTCATTTGTGTGCAATTTCTGATATTAGATATTCCTATTGGTGGTAAAAGAGAAATGCATATGGAGGAACAAATCAGATGAAAACAATTTTTCTGATTTTGTTATTTTGTTTTCGAACATTATAATATGTTCGAAAAATATATCATTTTGAATACCATTTTCAAATAAGTATGAAAATATTTTGAATTTCGCCTACTCAGATGTGAATATTTAACAAATACCATAAATGAGTTCACTTTCTTTATTTTTCAGCTAAACCGTTCCGTTGTTCAGATTGCCAAAAAAGTTATCAAACGAAAAGTGGTCTGTATAATCATCAAAAATGGGAATGCGGAAAACCGGCGATGTTCCACTGTCCCCTTCAAGGTTGTAACTATAAATCAAAACGAAAGGGCAATTTGAAAACTCACTATTCTATCCATTGCATGACGGTCTCCTACAGAGATTCCCAAAATAAGGGAAACTAATAATATATTGAGTAATATAATGTTAATTGTTTATGTAATTATAATTTGAAAAGGTTTATAGATTATTGATTAAAATTATTAACCTATTCATATTTTTTTTTCAATTCACTAGAAAGTATTAAACAAAAACCACTGTCATGAAAGTAATCTGTGTTTCATAGTGATTTCTTTTGGGAATGATCGACATCCATTATTTGATCGAATATTTTTTTTAAAACCCCTCAAAGTGAAAATAATACAATGAACTGTAATAATTAGTTTTCTTATCCATTATTTGGACAAAATTTTGAGATTTCCATTGGAAATTGATTCAACTCTGAAATACCGAACAAAACTATATGTTAGCTCCAAAAATAACTTTTAAGATCATGTATAGAGAAAACTTATTACCAATTTGAAGTTGACTTTAGTTGAACACAATTTGGTATGTCCATGGATTCTTTCTCATCTCCCACTTTGAGAAATATTCAGCTGAAATCGTTTGAAAAATCTTCAATTGAAACTTACAAAAGTGTTCTAAAACTATGAAGGTATAATACTTTGTTGATGGGAAAGAAAGTTTTTGCTGTTCTACTACTCCATCTTAATACAAAAGAAAAAGTGGGAATCTTTCTTCCTTTCTTTGGAAGATTCCCACTTTTTCTTTTGTTTTTGGTTTTCTACTACTTCATTATAATACAAAAGAGAAAGTTAAACAGGTCACAGTAGGGATTGAACAAATAGTATGTTAAAAGATTCAAACTCGAATAGTATAGACTTTGTTTTTCTCATGAATAGTAATCCCAAATTCTCTAAGTGATTTTGTGTTGATTAATGTATTAGTGCCAATTGCTTTTGATGTGGAGTTTTCAGTACTAACTTTTCATATACAGGGAGGGGCATGCACCGAAAACGAAACAGATCGAATATCTTCAAAACACATGTATTCTGAAAAAAATGCAAAAACACATCGATTTGTAATCCAAGGGGGACATCTTCCTATCATATCATATCAGCTACCTAACTTTCGATTTTGGCGCCTTCTTGCGGAAAAAAAAACTGTTCCGTATTCCAAATTATGATACTTTATTCGCCAGCTAATTTGACATAAATTCGGTGACAATGAATTGTTTTTCAATGCAAAAAATCAAGATGCGGCTCCAAAATGGCGGACAAAATTTGTAATTATGCTTCGATTTAACCCGACACCAAAAACGAATTCTTCAAAACAGATGAGTTGTGAACATAATGCAAAAACATGTCAATTTTAAATCGAAGGTGGACAAATCTTATAGTTACCTCAACTGTCATACTTCTCTCCCCACCCATTGTTCACTCATACAATTTGATTAGGGAAAGTACTAAGAGTGATAGGAAGGGTGATAGGAAGATGTCCCCCTTGGATTAAAAATCGACGTGTTTTTGCATATGCATTCTGCACATATTCGATCTGTTTCGTTTTCGGTGCCTCACCCCGGTGCTTTGATGTAAAGCGGTTGCTGCTGATATTCAGAAGACTGGTTTATGACATTGTTTTGAGTTATTTAACTTTTGATTGAATAGAGCCATCTACCTTTGGAATATGGATGTAGAACATAGGTGTGATTGTATTAGGTTTCGAGAAATTAAACTTGGTGGTGGTTTGCTATCGGTGTTTCAAGCCTTCCATTCTTTCATGTAAAATGTTATCTATACTTTTCTGGAACGACAAACTCAAGGTAGTTCATTATCATGCATTGCAGACTTCGCATTCTAATACGAATGATGTTTCTTGTCTAGCAGTTGAGAAATCGAGACTGGGACGACTCAGTATCATGCATTTTAGGGCCATCCATTATTTCATTTTGTGGGAGAACTGTGCGAGCATAGTTCATTAGCAATTCATTGTCAAATAAGATATTGTTTACTTTTAGGGGGAAGTCATTATAGGCTATTCCGGGAGGAGTAGTACCGGGTCAAAGCTGAGTGAAGCTCTACCAAAAGTGGAACATCAGGACTCAATGGATTCGTCACTAGTAGAGGTTTTTCACGCAGTATCACAGTAGACGTTATGTGGTTCAACCATTTCAATTTGGTAGAGCAATATTTCTCCCCAAAACTGGACAACTGGATATATCGGTTTTTCCAAAACAAGCACTTTTTTTGATCACCAGAAATGCTATACTATTCAAAAAATTGTGATCGGTAGTCATCTATCTCATTTCACAAACGGAGTATTCCATTCAACTATGATTCAGTGTGTCTCAGAATAAGTGAAACAGAGGTATATAATTTGGTAACGTAAAATTTTTAACAATGAAAATAAATCTTTTGGTGAAATTCACTTCCATCATTCAAAAACGAAATGCTTATTCAAAAATAACGTTTTTTTTATAAGAATTATTGGAGCTTACTGCACTAAAAATCAATGCGCTTAGTATTACATGATGAAGGTTCAGAATTCTGCCAAAATTTTACTCAACATCAACTGGTGTCTGAATTGTTGATACGGACGGACTTTGAACCATTAAATTATTTTCAATATGTTGAAAAAAATACAGACACAGAAATTACGCCTTTCAATAAACAAAACACTTTTCAATGAATGAACAATAATATAATTTTCATTTCAGTTCGAATAAAGTGTTCCAAATGTGGGAAAGCATACAAAAACGTTGAAACAATGAAAAGTCATTTTTATCAAGACTGCGGAAAAATCTTCAGATGCACAATTTGTGAATATAGTTGCAGAAGAAAGTATTGTTTTTCTAAACACGTTATGAAGCACACAAATGATAATAGTCAACAAGAATAATGAATTGAAAAAAAAATACGTTTATGAAAAGTATTTATACTATAGTATAAGTTTCCGATGTTTGTCAATTATATTCATTGAGTTCAATAAAACAGGTATACGCATCCTAACGTCCATTATTCCCTTCCATCAAATCTTCCTTCTTATTGCAAAGCCTATCTATGAAAGAACTCATAGATAGATTTTTATTGAAATTGTTGTGGTAGAACACCCTTTATTTTCTCAAAAAATCCCCAGTTTCATTTATAATATATTATGAATAACTACAGACCAATAAAAATCGTATTCCTCGTTGTAGTTATACAATTCAGTTTATGTGCACCAAGTATAAGTACAATATGCACCAAATACAGCTCTATATGAGTATTACTCATAATTTCACCACAATTTTATCAAGCACATTCCTTTCAAATAGTGTTATCACTATTTGACAATCTTACTACCACGTAGTAACGGCTACATCCATCAATTTGTTGACAATATTTTGTTAAAAACTAGCAACGTTCTCCTGCTGCCAACATTGACCCGTATTTTATCATTTTCTCAGAATCATTTCTGAATATACATTTATAACTAAGTCTATGACGAATTTAATTTAATTTAACGGTTCGTAGTTTCAGATCAGCAGCACATATGTCAGAAATGCGGAAAGAGATATCTCCATAAATCAACATTGAATAGACATACCAGCTACGAATGTGGAAAAAAACCAGGATTTCCATGTGTCAAGTGTAAAAAACGTTTCAAGAGGAAAGATAACATGGTAGTCCATTCTATGACTTGCCAAAAATAATTTCGTCCACTTACTGCTGTAGAAACAGAAATTTTCTCAAATGGCATTCGTTCCTCCGAAGATGGCTATCGAATTCTGTAGAACAGATTTCGAACTAGTTGACAAATCCATAAATATTGAATTGTGACTATAATATTATAAATCAGTGTAGATATATTTTTTTGAAACTTATTCAACAATGGTGGGCGGTGTAAATGTTAAAATTGCTCCACACTTACGAAAATATCTAACTAATAAAATTTGAGAAGATATTGTTTCTACTTCAACAAAATAAAATCAACATATAATAATTTGTTATTTGAATTATTTTCTAAACAGTTTGAAAGCAAAATATGAGAATGGAATGCAAATGGAACTGACAGTAAACTGAAAAAATATGTATTGGAAAAATATCATTATCATTTGTTTCTCCACCTGAGATTTCGGTGCAAGGCGGTTTAATAAGGTATCCCGCCCTTGAGGAGACGACTCACTAGTTTCCTGGCTACACCACACACATTTTTTTAGGTTCCGTGATTGGATCAGGAGTTGGGAAGTTGAGAAGCTCTCGCTCCTGAACTAAATTTAGAGGGAGATCAGTAGGAGTCGTAAGCTCGACATCCATCTCCTCTGTAGACTCGCTTCTGATCTGAATTTACAGAGAGTTCAGTTGGAGTCGTAGGCTCGACATCCATCTCCTCTGTAGACTCAGCGTCAGAAAGAATTTTTAGGTTTACTCTGTCTATAAAAGTCCCACGAGTAGCTAGGGAAAGAAGGGCAATCACGGCAGAGCCCCGCATTACCCTGACAAGGCGATACTACGACGAGAGGGCGCCCGGTATCTCGAAGGTTCCGTAGAGACAGCTGATAGACTTGATGTCATTCATCTTCTCGGCACGGATACACACACCTTAGGATTAAGCCATCGTTTGGATGCCATTCAGTTAGGGAATAACAGAACCACAAGTGATTCTGTCATTCCTGTAACCAGCGGGGCTTCCCCCACATCCCTAGCGTATGCACTCGCCAAAAACAGCATGCACAGTGGTTCAGGCAGTGAAAGATGAACAAGGACAGCCAACCTGTCAAATGTAGTGTGTAGTATATAAACGTAATTAGAAAACAAGGTGTCTTCAATGAGCAGAAAATGGTCGTTGAAAACACCAATTTGAATTTTGATTTTGATTTTTTGTGAATGTTTTATGAAAGTGTTCTGCATTTTACCAACGTTTTGGAAAGTCTCATAGTTTTTTTGGAATATTGAATATGTACGACTAGGTAATATAATAATAACTCTACTCTTTTCAGGTCCCTACAGATGCACTAAATGTGGCAAAATGTACCAAGTGAAAAGATCTTTATGGAGGCACACTAAATTCGAATGCGACACAGCTAGGGCATTTCAATGCCAGTTTCCTAACTGCCAATATAGTGCTACTAGAAAATATTTACTCTTCAGTCATTTGAAACTTAGACATAATATTGATTGCTATGACAAATAAATGGAAACTTAGAAGGTTTTAATCTCTTGGCAATATCCAAAAAACGATTTTTAAAAATTTTTTTTTAGAACTGGCTTGAACGTTTAAAGTTCATTTCTTTAGATTTATTTACTGCCAGTCTTCAAGCATAGCCCACTGACTAATAAGAAAGTTTTTTCTTCCTCATTCAGAGGAATCGGGCAAATTACGGATATGCAGTTGGTTAGTACCTGGTCCACTAGATGGAGTGACATTTTGTTGTTCGCTCCAACTTAGGAAGAGGAATGAAATACTCTGAAAGAATTTAGATTTTCAATTATGGAATATCATTGACTTTAGATCGATGATGTCCACTACCTTGCACCGATGAGCGGCTAATGAGCCCGAAACCGGTCTGCAAGTGTGCCCGTTCCAAAATTGAAGATCGACTCTTTCAATTGTATTGGCAATTGCATATGCAGGAAATTTTCTGTGAAGATTCCTGCACTGACGCCTATCGGATATAATCCAACGCCCTTCGTGGTATTAGCCAGGGGAGTAATTGTTTTCTGATAGGCGTCAGTCCATTCAACCTACTGTGTAGGTATATTCGAGACTGGCTTGAACGTTTAAAGTTCATTTCTTTAGATTTGGTCACTGCCAGTCTTCAAGCATAGCCCACTGACTAATAAGAAAGTTTTTTCCTCCTCAATTAGAGGAATCGGGCAAATTACGGATATGCAGTTGGTTAGTACCTCGTCCACTAGATGGAGTGATATTTTGTTGTTCGCTCCAACTTGGGAAGAGGAATGAAATACTCTGAAAGAATTCAGATTTTCAATTATGGAATATCATTGACTTTAGGTCGATGATGGCCACTACCTTGCACTGATGAGCGACTAATTAGCCCGAAACCGGTCTGCAAGTGTGCGCGTTCCAAAATTGAAGGTCAACTCTTCCAGTTGTATTGCCAATTGCATATGCAGGACATTTTCTGTGAAGATTCCTGTACTGACGCCTGTCGGATATAATCCAACACCCTTCGTAGTATTAGCCAGGGGAGTAATTGTTTTCTGATAGGCGTCACTCCATTCAACCTACTGTGTAGGTATATTCGAGACTGACGTGAACGTTCAAAGTTCATTTCTTCAGATGTAATTTGTATCGAAATGAGAATTATAACTGAGTAGGTAGCACTGCCTATCAGTTTTCGATATATTGGTTTTCACTCCTTCAAAACCTGTTTTCAATCACATTTGGAAATGTTACTGTGTTTTCAAATGAAATTACAGAGCCCTGAAAATAGAGCCAAAAGCGGGTAGTCTGGCTGTTAGGGTCTGAGCTCATTGCGCACAAAGGCCGAGAATTTAATATCGATTCTATTTGTACTAATACAGTGTTCAGTTCTTCATAGCTTAATATTTGGTTACCAATGACACGAGTCAAATGGGATTTAATTGATTTTATGCCTGCTTCGGCTAGACCGGCAAAATGAGAACCATAAGGTGGATGAAAAGTAAATTTAAATTTTCCTTCAGTGAAAGCCTCCTTAATAATAATCAATAAATATTTATTAGCTCCGACAAAATTTGTTCCATTGTCAGATACTATTTCTAAACAACGACCACGTCTAGCAATAAAACGACGAAGCGCGCATAAAAATATGTTTGTTGATAGATCTGAAACCAATTCAATATGAATAGCCTTTGCGGCAAAACAAACAAAAATACAAACGTAAGATTTTAGAAACTTAGATCCCCGAGAACGATACAAAAAAATTTTGAACGGCCCTCCAAGATCACATCCAACGATACTAAATGGCTTGATTTGAGTTATACGTTTGGTAGGTAAATTACCCATAATAGTATCTGGATTCAGGCTTCATTGCGAAAGCACAACTTGTCGAATAACCAGAAATTGTAACATTTGAAGTAGGAAAATCATTCGAAAATGTATCCGTGTTTCTATAATTATTTGCGGAACGCGAATTTTTGGAGCGATCTATATGAAGAGTGGAATGATAGGTTTTAGAATTACATTGCAAACAGGAAGAACTAGATTTGCAAAAACGTAACGTGTGAGAATTGTTGAGGCAATTATTGGTTGACATGGAATTGGATTTAAACGCCAGCATTTTAAACATTTCGAGACGATACTGCGAATAGCTTGTCGAGCCGATAAATTCCAAAAGTTCTACGCCAATAAGAAATACAGTGTCTGCGGTCCAGGATGAAAGTACTTATTATGAATATCAATAATAATAAGTTCTGTAAGTTTACATGATTTAGGTAATAGGATAGGATGTTTCATATCATAGTTGAGCAAAGAATTTTTCAAACGACCTCCTACTCTCAAAATATCATTTTCATCCAGAAATATACTCAACTTTCTGAAACTTTTCCATAATAACTCTTTATTTTTCAGTTTACAAATTTCGTTAGAAAAATATTGAAACTGTACATGTTTAATGAACAGTATTAAAGCAGTTTGTAAATCCTTGTAACAAAATGCATGCATTTCCCTAGATGTGGGATGTAAGCAATTATAAACAAAGCGGATAACGTAAGCAATAATTCCTTTTATTTTATCAAGAGAAGAATAATTTTTAAGGAGTGAATCAAAGAGGTTATCATCCACATATACTGATAATACGATCTTTCTAACTTCAGTATAAGTTTTTGAGTTCGGTTGAAGGTCTTGAACTGAAGTGACAGGCCAATTTTCTTGATTAGAATGTAACCAAGTAGGACCTTTCCACCACTCCATTTCCATTTTCAATTGGTATTTTCTCTCCATACGTTTTAACAACGAATTTCATGCATTTAGAGAGAAGAAGTGCGGCACACAACTCGATTCGAGGAATTGAAAGTTG